CCCGCCCTGCGGCCCCGCTGCCGCGCGCGGGGCGAGGCGAGGCGCAGGACGGCAGCACGGCGGGGTTCGTTGAACGCTGCAGGGAGGGATGCAGGACACGGGACTGACGGATCCGGCCCCTGCCCGTCTAAACACGTGGCGAGGCGCAGGCGCCATGGCATTTGGAGAGCTAAGCGGTTCCCTTCCCTCAGCCCGGAGACGGGGCGCAGCGCTCGGCTCACGCTGTTCGCTGCGGCGCGTGTCCCGCGCGCACGCGCAGTGCAGATCTCGGGACACAGACGTCGCGGGTACACACTGCTCTGTCGAGGTGCAAGGTCGTCGAGTGCACAGCGCCGAGGACTGGCGCTTCAGTGCCCTGCTCCCCACATTGCACACCGCGGTCCCAAGGCCGCGCTAGAGCTGGGCTGAAGCGAGGCCTGCAGTGTTTTCCAAACAGCCACGCGCTGTCCTGTACCTTAGAAAAGAGGCAGCATCGGGCCGGGAGCGGGACACGCGCGGCCTCCGGGCCATGGGGCGTCCCCGCCCCTCCAGCCCCTCGCTTGCCGTCCGGCACTGCCCTCCCGCGCCCCGCCGGGCTGCTGAAAGGGGCCGCGGGGCATCGGAGTTGGACCAATCGGCAGGCAGAGATATGCACACTGTCAATACTGCACAATAGCCAATCAGAATGTGGCCCAGGAGGGCGCGTTCCTCTCCCCGCCTTCTCTCTCCGCACAAACCAATCAGCGAAATAGGAACGGAGCCGTCCTGCTCCCGCCCACACAACCCTCGCAGCCAATCACCGCATTCACCTCTGCGACGTGCCCCCCGGTCTCCCCGCCGCAATGCCCAGCGCGGCCACAGGAGGGCGGTGCTGAGCCCGGCTTTTCCTCCGCCTTCACGGACTGCGCCAATGCCCCGACGCGACCACAGGAGGGCAGCACCGAGCAGCGGGTTAGTCTCCCCTCCGCCGCGCCGCTCCTCGGGGCTGCAGTGCTCGGAGCGCACCACCGGAGGGCAGCACTGAGCCACGTTTGTCTTCACGCAAGTGTGGATTCCCAATGACTCGTGTGATACCCGCACTCCCTACAGACACTCGTGTGCGGTGGTGTGCAAGGGTGAGACAGGAACACCTACATTACTATCGCCACTGAGAGAGACAGAGAGCGGTATGAATAGGATCACTGTGTTACTTCGGGCGCGTGTGTGTTACACACTCGCTATGTCCATGTCGGTACACCCTCCCCCCCGTACTGCACTCCTCTCTGCACAATGTAAGCTCTTCAAAGTAAGTGACGCAATGACTAACCCCGTCACTGCACCCCTGCTCTCAGTATTGTACTGCTTTACACCAAAGGGCCCAAACTCTCCCTAGAATTGAATCGAGGTTTCCATTGGATTGTCCCGGTTAAGAAGGGGTAATTTGGTGCTTTGCAAGGTGCTCTCCAGGGAGGTCTCGGCGTCAGCGCAGAAGCGAACGGTGTCCGCGGGGCCCACGTGCACCCCGTAGGTCACCGCCCTTCTGGCGTTGGTCTGGGAGAGCCTGGCTGCCCCGCGCCCGGGGTCGCAGTGTCCCGCACGACCCGCCCTGGGCGCCAGAGTGCCCGGCCCGGCAGCGGGACGTGGGCTCCGGCTCAGCGGGCGGCGAACGCGCCGCGCCGCGCCGCGCCGCAGGGGATCGCAGTCGGACCAATCGGGGCACAGGAGCGTGCGTGCCCACCGCGCAC